TACCACCCCCACTGATCACCCTGTGTACCACACCCCAACTGAACACCCTGTGTACCACACCCCACTGATCACCCTGAGTACCACACCCTATTTATTTAAATCATTCTAATTATGCCTCACCCCTGGTGTCTTCTTCAGAATGCTCCTAGGTGTTGCAGGTGAGCTCTTTATTGTTCCCCTGCTGACTCTGCCATGTATACTGCCACTCTTCTTCATCTTCTCTATAGCTACCTCCAGGTGCATCTTGAATGCCATCATCCACCTAGTGGAGAATACATTATGTTACAAGAGTAATGGAACTTAAAAGAAAGAGAGGGAGGGAGACTGCAAGGTGTAAGTGACCACACAGTAGGCTCATGATGGCAAAAGATAATTTTGTTCAAATTGAATTGAAATCCTGTTTTCATAACCATTTTACAGTTTCCCTCCAGGACTTAAATTATCCAATTCTTGAGTACACATGCCAGAGTGTACTGGCAAGCCCTAGGTCTTCTTCTCTGTCTCTCCCACAATATTTTAGCCAGTATGGGAGATTGGTGTGTTAAGATAGTCCTTAACTGCCTAAATGTGGAAATAAACATTGTCAAGTTATAAGGTAGGAATCTGCTTGCTCAAGCTGATGATGCAACAACTGTTACAGCATTTTTGTGGTGAAAACTGCTACCAATTTCAAATGTATTTCCCACACCTGAACAGCTAAAAGCAACATAGTAACACCTATTTAATCATAACAAAAAGCACTTCAAACTGGTGCCAGGAAATTTTATTGAAAGGTTTCTGATTTTACCAGTAAAAAGGTGAAATAAGGCCTGCGATTTATTGAACATGGTAATTAGGGTAATTTTGTATCTTCTAAACAGAACTAAAGGATCAGAGAGGCGATACTGCCTCTGGATATTGTACCACCAGCTGGAGTAAGTGCATTCGGATGGAAAACCAAAAAAAAAAAAAAAGGGACACCACCACCAGTCTTGTGCTTGACAAGCTGTATAAAATGCAATAAACAAGAGTTCTCAAAATATGCGAAAAANATCAAGCAGTTTTTCCAAATTTCCAATCACTCCTGTGATTTGCTAGACAATAGGCATGTTGGTTTTCCTTCAAATGTGTTATCAGTGTTGCATATATGCTGACAAAAGAGAAAACCTAGGGGCAACACTGGGCATATCTCTGCTAGTTTTAAAGATATGAGGGGCAAGAAAATATGCAAAGTTCAGTTCATGGAAAAAAAGTAGGTCAAAGGTCAATTTCAAGATCACAGTATATGACTTCCTATTCAAGTTCAATAGAAACTATGGGTATTTCTTTGCCAATTTTGGAGATATAAAGGCCAGAAAACATGCAAAGTACAATTCATCATAAAAAGTAGGTCAAAGGTCCACTTCAAGGTCACAGTTAGATTGCCAGTATATGACTTCCTATTTCAGTTCAATAGTAACTGTGAGCTTAACTCTGCCAGTTTTCGAGATATAAGGGAGAGAACATTTGCAAAGTTCAGTTCTTGGTGAAAAGTAGGTCAAAGGTCAATTTCAAGGTCATAGTACGATTGCCAGTATATGACTACCTGTTCAAATTCAATAGTAACTATGGCCGTATCTTTGCCAGATTTGGAGATATAAAGATCAGAAAACTTGCAAAGTGCAATTCATAATGAAAAGGAGGTCAAAGGTCAATTTCAAAGTCACTGTTAGATATAAAGTATATGACTACCTATTCAAGTTCAATAGTAACTATGGGCATATCTCTGCTAATTTTGGAGTATTTCACCTTTTAATTTCACCACTGAATATTGGATATTGAACTTATTGATATAGTGCAATGCCTAAGCCATATCGAAAACAAAAAGTGGACACCACCTTCAGTATTGTGCTTGACAAGCTCTACAAAATGCAAAAAAAAACAAAAAACAAAAAAAAAACAAGAGGTCTCTAGCATTAACAGTTCCAGATTTAGAGAGAGTTTTCAGTTTCGGCATCTAATGGCTGCTACTCCCATTAAAATGCACTGATTGACCCCAAACTCATGAAGATGAAAGATAACCCTAAGGTTAATACCTACCCATAATATTATAGGTTAGATCTGTGTAGTTTCTGAAAATTGGCAGAAATAAAAAATTTTTTCGCAAAAAATTCCTACTTTTAGAAAATTTTGGCCTGTTTGACCTTGAAATAATGGTCAAATCTAAGGGCATATTTGAAATCTCCACATATGACTTTCGGTCAGCCATCTGAAGAAATTTTCCCATAATTCCTTCGGTTTGGGAGATATTTAGCATTGAATTTACAAAAATTTTGACAAGAGTGCGTTTCATCAAGTGTCACGCCCAGGCCAATGCACCAAATGAGACAAAAAAACCAGGGGGTTCAAGTTGAGATTAAATGTGACCTAAATCCAAGAAATGGGGCCACAGGTCCTTGTGGTCTAGGAGGAGAAGGGGTAATGGTGACTTGTATCCCACGCTATCCTGCGGAGCCGTAGGAGCAGGCGGAGCCGGCGGAGCTGTACAAGACAGGTCGGGACTAAAACCATGAGTACTGCCAGCATACACGCTGGCGGTACTAACTAAAAATATTTTAATATTGTGCCAAATGGTGGCACCATGATGTGATTTTCACCCTTGTCATTTACCATGTCAATGTTCATGATAATAAGGTACTAAAATACATATGTGTTGGAAACTGATCACTTTCTCACACAAATTTACAAAGCAGCAAAATTGATGAATAGCACTAAGCCAGCCAATATGTTTAAGCAGGGGGAGTGGTAAATAAAGCAACAGATAAGGGGCTCTGTGTTCTAAAAGTGTTTAATTTTATTGCAAAAATATGAAGTATTTAACATAAAAAAATAGAAAAAGCTATTTAGGCAAATAAAGGCCCATAATAATATATCAATCCCCCTTAACTCTATATATGTGTGTATATTCCAGTACCACCTCCTTCCTCACCTGTCAAGCCATAAATCACATTTCTTCTTGAGCTGTTCTTTCCTGTCCTCTCCCTCTATACTCCATACATCCCAGCTGTCCAGCTCACGGGGAAAGAACTTGTGCGGATCTTGGAGGCCCATGTTCAGGAAGAAATTCATCACTAATAACCTGAGCAAAAAAGAAAATATAACAGTTAAGACTGGGTTCAAAAACTCACATAAACAATAAACAAGGTCACCAAACGTCAAACTTTATACCTGGTTTTCCAGGATCTGTTTAACCCTTTAACCAATCCACCTCATCTCCCTGGGGAACATATCACCCCAGCTACTGGAATTATGTGCTACTTGGAATTATCATTCACTGTCATGACTTGGCCCTTCAGTAAAATAATCCACTGATTCAAATATAATATATACCCTTTGTCAAAACTACAATAATATTATTAAATTTATACATATGTGATTATTTCAAAAATATTTTTATTAATAAAATCAATGTCTATAAAACCTCACAGATAGTGAGTGTTAGTTTGAATTTTCAATTAGAGTTAAAATAGTCCTTTCAAATGCAACTACAATTTTTTCTCACTGCCACAGACAGTATTTTCTAACACCAGATGTCACTGCCATATAGCCACCAGATGGCACTGTACTCACCTCATATCAGGATCCCCATCCAGGTGCTGGATCATCAGTTCTATAATAAAACTCTTGCTTGCAACCTCCATCAATTGTAACAAATTTAAGACAGCTTTTACAAACTCTTTCTGAGTTATGTCCAAACAATTTGGTGGATTTTTTGCTGGGTTTAAGGCAGATAGGAGAGCATGAATAACAACTTTGTTATCCTCAAAACCTTCTTGTTGGTAGAGAATCTTGATTGCATTGACAACTTCTTTCTTGAAGCGATATTCTGCAATCTTGATAAGCCTTAGCAGCATGTTCAGAAGAGCTGTTACTGTCCATGGTTTGGGGAATGTCTGGATGAGAAAAATACAGGTAGTAGTAAACGGAGGGTTTAACTTAATTCCCCTTTCACTCATTCTATGGACCTCCTATAAATAATTTTATCGCATGCTGATCATATAAAATCCCAGATACCAAAAAAACAGTAAGTTGTATTACCTGATTAACCAAAAACACCAAGCACTGTGAAAAGAAAAAAAAATGGAAATATGTACAACTTACATTGATATTACAATTTGGAAAGAACTTCTCAAACCATTCTTGTCCAAAGAACTGAGTAATAAATTCTGGGAGTGGGGTGGGTGGTGGGGGAGGAGTAGGAGGAGGTGTGGGTTCTTTGGGGGGTGGGGGAGTTCTTGGTTTGGGTGGAGGTGGAGTGGGGGGCTTTGGAGGAGGTCCTTTGGAGACCAGTTTGACAATCTTCTTAGGAGGGACTATTTTCTTTGGAGGAGGAGGTTTTGGTGGTTCTGGCTCTGGTTCAGGAGTCTGAAACAGAAATTATACAAAAATATGAGTATGTGACTAACAGGTATCAAAATAAATATCAACATTATAAAAGTTGCAATGACAAGCAAGCATTCTGAGGTCATACAACTACTCAGAAAATATAGAACTATTCATGANGGTGTGAACCTTACACTGTGCTGTGGGCATCATTCCCAACTTTTAGTGCATACAAAGTGAAAATAAACATGAAAAGGCAGAAATCACTCCTTTATAGATGTTTAAGAAGTTGGTGGGACCCCGCCCCCTTTTGCTGCCACTAAGTAAAATGTGTCTCTGTGATGAAGAACATGATCAGCTAAATGTGCTGTGATTCTGTGAGAGTTCTGCCCATGTGGTGTGATGAGATCAGGTTTAACATAACTGTGGTAGTGTATCTATTAATAAAGTCTACAAATTAAAAATTAAATAACAAATAATACATAATGCTAACCAGTGAGACCTTTCATACATATGTGGAAGTTGTAGTACAGTTTAAAAAAAGGCATCCTTACAAATTAAGACTAAATACTGTTAAAATCTTTATCAGCAATGTTGAATTTAATCCTAACATAACATAATAATGAACAAATCACAGTTATAAAGTACTATAAAAATGACCTTTAATGTAAAAGCAAAATCATAGCTTCTAAGCCCAGCCACAAGCAAGGTTGCATGTAACTTAATAAACTGCCAGCCATACCTAATATACTGTAACACCCAAAATACCCTCACATATACCAAGCATCATTCCCTTTACCAGACACTTCTACGCAATATCATACTTACAAGCATTATATTATCATAACTAACACAATATCACAACTGTAATTGTAAAACTTACCCTAGTGCATTTTCAGATTAGCACAGGTGTTTTCATGTCAAAATGTTACCATTACTTTAAACACACACACACACACACACACATTTTTACTGAAAAATCTCCAAGTCCAACAAACTTCACAATATTTTCCACACACAATCACTGCCACATATGCCCTGTGCCCTGGCACTGAAAGGATGCAATAGTTGATAACAGATAAAAAACAGCCAATTCAAGAATTTGCATAGATAGCAATGCCCAGAGTTACAGAGGGCACTGGAAACACCTTGTTGCTATCTGCAGAGGCACACTCTGATGGCAGAGAGTACGAGTTTCCACTGAGCTCTGACACACAGGTGAAGAAAGACTACTTGCACACCAACATGATTGTATAATATATGCATGTATGTAAAGTTGGCCATGTAGAGAGCATGTGTCTGTACACATTTAAGTGCTCAATAAAGTATTATAATTTTAATTGTAATATGTTTTCATAAATTTGTTTTGGAACAAATTTCAAAATACTTCCTAAAAGGATAAGTTGCTGAGTTGTAAAATATCACTGCTCCACATAAACCAAAACTTTGCAATTGTAGTCTTTCTTGGGCATCTCTTTTGTAAGATTAATAAAATAATAAGTTAAAGACCAACAAAGTGCATCAGACCTTTATATAGCAAAATAATGCATTTTCCCATATTTGCCAAAGTATATCCATATCCAAAACTGTTGAGAATATAAGACCCATAAAACTGTTACTGAGTTCTATATTTTAATTTTGGACCACCCATTCGAAAACTGTTAGCTTCCATCTCCAAATATGACCTCCAAAGTACGAGATCTCACAATGTCTGACAAGTTATTCTTGAATGAAATAGAGGGATGATATTACTTAGCTGGCAAGATGGAGACATGGGAAAAGAATGGTGAGGGTGGTGCCAAGGGAGGTAGAAAGAAAACTATAGTCATTCCACTTAGAAAAACAGAGAATGATGAGTTTTTTAAAACATACTTGAGACTCATATGTGACATAAATTTGCTCTCCATGTTCCTCAATCTCTTAAGCTTTGTAATTTGTTAAAGGGGTGGGAAAATTGATATTTCCCTTTCTACCCCCTAAACTTCTGTTGAGTATTGAAATGCAGATAAATAATTAGTCTAATAGTGTTTTCTAATTTTTTCATTTTGTAGGTTTGAAAAGCTTAGTTTCAATGGGAATTAGTTAAAGGGATAATAACTCTTCGTATGAGATCTATATTTCACAATAAAAACATTGTGAATAACTCATAGAAATATAATATATTCTGTTTTACCATAAAAACAGCAGATATTGCTATAAATTCTTATATTTGAGCTTGTCTTTAAACCACGTGACCTCCATTGATGGCTATACTCTGTTAAAATCTCTTAAGAGATTTTAACAAAAAACCAGGGACTAACTTTGAATGTAAAAATGGATTTATTAACCATTGGTAAGTATGGGAAAATTGTTGTTTACTCCAGGAAAATTGATTTTTTGGCCGAAACGAATGAGCTATTATCCCTTTAAAATAATCAAAAATGATCTCTTGTGACACAAATAAAACTAGAGGATCAGAGAGGCGATACCGCCTCCGAATATTGTACCACCAGCTGGAGTAAGCGCATTCGTATAGACCCCCACATACACAAAATAAGGGACACAGCCACCAGTCTTGTGCTTGACAAGCTGTAAAAATGCAATCAACAAGAATTTTCAAAATATGCAAAAAATATATATAACTAAAAATGGTACAATAAAA